TTTAGCTCTCTGAGCTTCGGCAGCAGCAGCAGCCTCTGAGAGTTGGACATCTTTGGCCTGGAGCAGCTCTTCAGCAGCCATTCGGCTGGCTTCAAGAGTCTCTAGACGTTGCTGCACTTCAGCTTGTGCAGCAGCTCCTTCCTGAATACGGCTCTCAACAGCAGCCTTGAATTTGGAGACGTCCACTCCCATATGCTCCTGGAGGAATTTTTCCCCTTCCATCAGTGGGGGAAAAACTTCCTTCTCCATAGCGTCGCAGAAGGTTTTGAGGGCTTCAGCAGCTCTTTTCTCATACTCCTCACCCTTCTGCTGCTTCTCTTCAGCTGTTGCTTGCTTCAGCTTAGCAAGCTTTAATTCCTCTTCAGCTACCTTCTTGTCGTGCACAGCAGCGTCTACCCTATCTTGTAGGGTATCTATCAGCTCTACAGTGAGAGTCTGATTGTGCACGAACTGAAAACAGGAAGACAAAAAAAATAATAAATAAAAAAAAATATAGAGCTGAATTTCAGAGGAAATGAAGACAAGGAAAATTACCTGCATCATCAGCAGTTGGTTAGACCTGGCTGGGTCAGGAACTGATCTGCTGGATTCGCCCATCCCAGCAGTGGCCTTCAGCGACCAGATCCTTGCCCTATCTACTTCGGACATGCCAGCAAAATCGCCGAAGTAGGCTGCAGCTCCTTCTCGGTTCTGACCCCATATGAGGTCCCAGATGTGGTCTGGGATTGGAATTCGGGGGGCCGAGAAACCCATTTCTCCAGATTGCAGAGTCTGGAAGGAAGGGAAGGATGACGATGGAGCTTAATTGGCTTTGGATGGCTCAGCATCATCCTTCTCAGAGGAGTCAATTACTATGACCTCCTCTTCTTCAGGGGTGAGGACGAAAGCCTCAACCTCTCTTGCGATGTCCGCCGTGAAGCCCTCAGCACTGGACATCACGGCATCCTTGTTTTCGTGCTCAGCAGCACTCGCCTTAATTTCTTCTTGGACCGCTCCCTTAGATTCGGGAGTTCTCTGATCCACCTCCATCTCAGGAGGTGGCGGAGGGGTCTTTTGAGGTGATTGGGGTGGTGGCCGGGGAACCCTCGGCGATCCATTGCCTTCCTCGGGTTCCCTTATTGCAACGCCGATGGTCATCGGCCTCCGCTGAAAGTCATGAGGGCCGATGATGGCCATCCTTCGGCGCCTTTTCAGAAGGGGCTGCTCGTCCATATCTGAGTCTGAAGACTCTCTTTGTATTTGGTCTTCGGGACGAACAGGAGCTTTCCCTTCTCTATGTCTGTTACTCTCTTCAGACTGTAACAGACAGGGGGGAGGAAGAATGTGAGTAAAAAAAAAAAAAAAAAAAAAAAGAAAGAAAAAAGAAAGACAAAGTTGTCTGAAAACTCACCGAGGTCTTCAGCAAAGCCTCGTCTTCTTCAGCTGCTCTAGCTGCAGCTTCTGCTTCAGCAGCTCTGGAGGACCCTTCTCCTCCTTCGCAAGCTTCGAGAACCCGTGCAACCTCTTCGGCTGTACGGGCAGCTTCAGCTTCTTCCACCAAGGCTTCTGCCTCTGATACAGAGCAACAACCTCAATTTGGAAGTGGGAAGAGTCTAGATGAACTTCCCTATGCCTCGGCTCAGTGATAGACGGGGCCCGTTCAGTTACAACTCGTTCTCGGTTGACACCAAGACGAGCGTAGTTAATGCCAACGTTGGTCTCGTCCCGCTCTGAAAAAGGAAAGGGGAAAGGTTAGTTCAGATAGGTTGGCACAGCATGAAAAAGCGAAGCGAGAGAAGAAAAAGAGATAGTTAAAAAGCCTCGGCCCCAGCCGAAGAAGCTTACCATCCTTAAACTTTCGGCTGAGGCCAACAGCTGCTAGCATGTTCTCTTGGAAAACGTAATGCGTATCGGGGAGCCAAGTCTCTGGGATATGCTGCATTCGGCCACTGCCCCCCGGTTCGGCAGCTTGCCGAAGATATGTTGCTGATCAAGGTTCGGATCCACCCCGTTATCTGCGGGGGGACCTAGACTTCCCATTTCGGGATCAGGCTCAGCGAGGTACCGGGGAGCGCTGAAGACGCAAGGGTGGCCCGGATCTGTGGGTGCCCTAACCCAAATCCATTGACCTCTCCAGTCCTTGTCTGAAGAGTCGTTTGGCCACATGGTTAGGTATTGGGGCCGGGACTCAATCCGGTACCACCCAGAACCATGGCTTCCGTGCCCACTTTGAATATTTGGCACTAGCCGATGGAGCTTTTTGAAGCAGTGCAGGTTCGGCACATACTTGAAGAACTTGCAGACCCATAAGTATGTCATCACCCTTCGGATGCTGGTGGGAGTTAACTGACATAGAGAGATGTTGTAATGGATCAGCAAGTCTCGGACGAATACGTCCAAAGGGAACCTCAGCCCGTACTGAAGCTGTCTTGTGTACACCCCCACATACCCCGGGGGGTGGACGATGGATTCTATCGGATGCCGAGGGCATTCGGCACCAATACCCATCAGCTTCAAAAATGCCGTAATGCAACTCAATTTGCTCGGCAAATCGATATTGATCGGCATTCTCCACCCACCATGGGTAGGGGCGGTTCTTTATCATGGCCGAAGCAACTTCGGCATTCTCCCATTCTGAAAACCCGGGGAGGATATCCCAAAGGACAGCGGGAACTTCATCATCCCGTCCAGAAGCGCTCGGCTCCTCCGTTCTCTGAGGAGGAGCCGAGGAAAGGGGAGTCGCCCTAATCCCTTCAGCAGGGTCAGACTCTGGCCTTTGTCCATTCCAGGTCCCAATCCTGTTCCTAGGATCGGGAATCGGCCTTGCTCTTCTTGGAGCACGGGCTCTACCTCTAACTCCTCTTGCCATTGATTATTTCGAAGAAAAAAGTCGAAAGAAAAGGAGAAGGAGTTCGAATTCGAAGAAAAATAAACTGAAATCAAAGGAATTTACCTTAATCTGAAGCGAAAGTTGCCGATTTACGAGTTCGTAGTGGCAAGTCTCAGTTTCTAAGCTTAATGCTCGGGGAATTTGCGAAGTTTTGATGCGGGTTCTTGGTTTCTCTCTCGAGAATTCTGGGTTTGTGTTGGTGAATAAGTGAGGAGAGATGACGCGCCTCTTTTTACATCTCCAGGTATGGGATACGAGGAGTCTGCGTTTTAATTTCTCTGAAATACTCCACTAAGTAACCGTTAAACACATGATCTTGTGATTAAACTGCCCATTATCCGTCCAACTTCCACAATCAACTGCCTTAACCGTTGTTATCTCATTAATTACGGTTTAAATTCAAATTTTTGGATTAATTAAATCATTTACTTCCCTCCTTTTCTGAATTAAATCAAACCCGACCTGTCATCCTTCCAAATCGGGTCTGGGGGGCAAGTTGTTTGGGTCCAATTTAGTCCAATTGGGCCTAAGCACTAAATGATCCAATTAAAAGCCCAAGGTCAAGGTTCAACTCTCCAATTGTGCTAAAGTCAAAGGTCAGCCCACAAAGCAAGCCAATTGGGCTAAGGCCCAACCTCTCCATGTATGATGAGGTATAAAAGCCATCATATTGATTCATTCATGGGGGGATTCTGATTCATTCATAGATTCATATGTTCATTCATATATTCTGATATATTCCATAAAAGCCTCAAGCAACAAACTCTCTTGCATAGTGTCCTCTTCTTACACATTGTACTGACTTTAGCATCGGAGGGGCCTTCCTCGGCAACACCCCCGAGGCTAGTTTACGTGTGTTTACTGTGCAGGAAACCTTGGGCCTAACATAGCTTGGACCGAATCCAGCCTTCTCCATTTCAGCGGACCTTCGGCAAGGTCCCATTGTTTTCACCCGAAACAACTCTTTTTTTTTTTTGAATAGAAGACAAGGTACATATTTTACTAGTTTAGTACATTTTGTTGTTTTATAAACTACCTCCTTTTCATATTATCTGCAATGATTAGACATTTTTCTTCTCTACTTTATGTTAAAGCGTTGTAAATATAATATGAAACGGGGTAGTAGGTTTGACAAGATCTATTGCTCCAGTTTTCTTGTATTTGATTGGACATTTAATTCGCCAATAATAAAACACACATACGATAGATACAATCATGTATGTGAGTGATGTATCTGGAATCAGTGGCGTATCCAGGAAGTCAGAAGTGTGGGTTCGAATCATCAAATAATAAGATATAGCTCCTTCGTTTTTTTTTTTTTGCAATGTTGATGATTTCACGCTTGCCAATGCACATTCTATTACTTAAATATCTTAAATTACATTTTTGTAATAAATATACAAAGTTGATATCAAAAAGGGGGAAAAAAAATTAAAATTGCTTATATAAGCATTCGGGCTTTCATCAAGTGGTAATATTAGGAGTTTAGAGAAGAAATTGAAAAAAAAGGGGGAATAAATAAAAAGGCTTTAGAAAAACAAGTATACATGAGAGTTTTGAGGTGAAACTGAAAAAAATTTGGAGAAGGTAGTGAGGGTAAAGGAAAAGAGGGGAAATTATTTTTAAAGTTCAAGTGGTAATATTAGGAGTTTAGAGGAGAAATTTAAAAAAAAGGGGAAAAAAATAAATGATGTGAGGCTGAGAGTCGAACCCCAGACCTATAGGGGCCTAGCGCACAAACCAAACCCTTGCTACCACTGATCTGCGCTTTTTTTCCTATATTTCTTATGCACACAAATTCTATTTATTTATTTTTCTATTTTTAAAAATTAAATAAAAAAAAAGAAACAAACAAACAAACCTTTTTTTCCCGAAAAATCAGTGGGTTCAATGAACCCACTTGAACCCACCGTGGATCCGCCACTGTCTGGAATAATATAGTTGGTTGAAAACTTCGGGAGGTATGTGATACTAAGAAAATTCTAATGAACTATCTGATAAATTAAATATTGTTTTGAGCCAATCTCGTATTTTATTTGATGATTACTGTTTTAATTTGATTTTCACATAACAATAAAAAAGAAGCTGAAATTTACTAAAAAGTTCTAAAATTTTATTTGCGATTTTATAGGTTACGAACAATTGATACTCCAAATCTTACACCAGATGGCTATATTTGGAGAAAATATGGGAAGAAGTCAATTCTCAACACAAATCACCCCAGGTATGTCATCACTCCTAGTCTTTTCTTATTTCCAATTAATTATGGACCTTACGAACTTCATATATTTAATACTAATAATAGGGAAATTCACATTTTTGTAACCCTTATAATAAAGGTGTGACTTAGTCTTTTACCTTATTGATCACATCACGTAATTAAATTATAGTTGCAATTAAGAATTTTCATATGAACAAAATGATTTTTTTTTTCCATTAGAGAACAAATCACAATTAATCACTACCCATTAATTATTTATGTTTCTTAATGATCCATGATATAATAGGGAATACTATAGGTGTGCATACACTGGCGGATCTACTAAGTAACCCGGGGTAGCACGTGCTACCCCAAAAATTTAGAAAAAAATTAATAAGTAATATAATTCGCAGAATGTCATTAATATTGCGTGTTGCTCTAGTGGTTAAAGTGGGTTTTATCAATCTAGATGGTTGGGGGTTCGAGTCCCATACCCTTCCCTTTTTGTTTTTACTTTCTATTATTTTCAGAAGTCTACTGTTGCTCAATTAAATTTCCTACTTTCTTCCACATTTTATTTACAATTATATTGATTAAGATTCCATTGAAAAAAAATTGATTAAGATAAGATCTTCCAATTAATAATCAACAATAGTAAAAATAAAAATAAAAATAATTCAACAATAATATTGTTATTGTAATTATACTCCATATTCATATTCACAATTTTTAAAAAATCCTAATCTCTCTATTTTTTTTTTAAAAAAAATTCTGTAGTATTAAATTTTGGTCGCTATTCACTTTTAATTTTACGTCTCTTTTTAAATTTATAATTATACTCCATATTCATATTCACAATTTTTACCAATTGGGTGTTGATGTAGTGGTGATTGAGACTACACTTGGTAGGGAGAACCTGTGTTCGATCTCCAAGGGTAAACCGGGTAGAACACCAAAAATATTCACAATTTTTAAAAAGATCCTAATCCCTCTATTTTTTAATAAAAAAATTGTGTAGTATTAAATTTTGGTCGATATTCACTTTTAATTTTATGTCTCTTTTTAAATTTATTAGATCTTGGCCATTCACCTTTACTTTTACATTTTATTCATCTTCACATTTTTTAAAAAGATACTAATCTCTCTATTTTTTTTTTATTCTGTAGTATTAAATTATTCACTTTTTTTTTTTTGAAATAAAATTATTCATTTTTATTTTTATGTCTCTTTTTAAAATTATTAGATATTGGCCATTCACCTCTACTTTTACATTTTATTTATTTTCACAATTTTTAAAAAATGCTAATTTGATCTCTGTATTTTTTAAAATTCTGTAGTATTAAATTTTGGTTGTCATTCACTTTTATTTTTAAGTTTCATTTTAAATTTATTAAAGTATATACTTGTAAAACTTTTGACATCATGATTAATAGTTACAGGGTGCATTAAAGTAATTCATGTCACATAAGGAGTAATTTTAATTGTCTAGTTAAGGTACAATTCCTGGATCCGCATTACCCTGGATCCGCATTAAGTAGATTATATACACAGTGGCGGATCCAGGAATTGTCACATAAGGAGTAATTTTAATTGTCTAGTTAAGGTGTAATTAGTACATCTTAAAATTCATGTCACAAAAACACACGCAAATAAAAAATAAATCGATTTTTTTTTAATTGTCTAGTGCTACTCCTAGTTAAAATTCCTGGATCCGCCACTGTGTGCATACAAAGAAGATCAGAATTGCCACGCGACCAAACAAGTCCAAAAAATATCGGATAATCTAACAAATTATAGGATCACTTACTACGCCGAACATACATGCCAACCTCACCTCTACAACAACAATAACGCAAATTGTACCAATTTCATAAGTTTTAAATCCAAAAACCCTACTATTCACCCCAAGCAGGAAATATTGGACTATAACGTTGCCCTAAATGCATCATCTTCAATGGCTACAATTGATTATCCGGCTTCCAAACCCGTTGATTCGGTGACAATAATGGAGCCATTGCTAGCTGATGAAATTGTTTGTCTCAACCATGACGTGTTATTTTCACCAAGATTATTCACGAGTCCAAATTACTTGTCTAGCTCTAATTTGGAGGCAGGAGACTACAGTTTGATGGCCGACGATTCTTTGGATATGAGTGCAGTTTTGATGGATCTCCCTCTTTGGGATTAAATCACGGTCATTAAGCCTGACTCCAAATTAAGTTTCTACTAATCCCCTTCTATGGAACTGGCTAGCTAGTTAAGTTGCAATGAAGTAGTGTTAATTAGATAAAGATGTATAATCAATATGCATTAGATATTTAGATTCAATTCATGGCAAGTGAGCTTCTATATATTCACTTGTAGTATGAAAGAATAGTGTAGCTAGATTTAATTCGTTACTTTCTCTACAATTTTAGTTGTTATTTTTGTGTATGACAATAATATCAGTTTCTTTCTTCAAAAAATAATACCTCCGTTAATTGTTATGTGCAACTTTGGGATTTTATTTGTGAAATATAAATATTCTAAAGTTGTATATAACATTTAACGGAGGTAGTAAAAGAGAAAAAAAGGTGGACATGGTCAAGTCAGCAAAAAAAGAAAAAGAAAAACAACCCAACTCTATAATATTTGGCATAAAATGAGAAGCATGATGGGTTGTCTAATATGTTGGCCCAACTCATCTATAAAAACATGGACATTACTTTTAAGAATTTAGTTTTAGCATGATGGATTGCCAACTTTGTTGGGCTACTAAAAATAATAATAAGGTCATGTACTCATGTTGATGCCAAATAACATAGCATATTGTCATATTGTTTTTTTTTTTTTTTTTAAAAAAAAAAAAAAAAAAAAAAAAAAAAATCCATAGCATATAGCTGGCTGATATGAGTTATGTTTTTTATGAAAAATTTACACGAGCAAAATACATGAAGGATTTTTATTGCTGAACTTCGTGCATTATTTGTGCCCAATTGCACTCCTTATAATGCGAGAGATAATAAAACGGCACCCAGATCCTTATTTTACAATCGTAATCTACTTTACGATTTGGCAGATTTGCTTATCTTAAACAGTGATAAATAACAATCTCTCATTCTCGTTCAACAATATAAATACTCCGTTTATAAGTGGAGAGTTCTCAACGAATAGTGCAAGCTAAGGCGATTAGCGAGAGATAACGACAATTAATTATTGAATTTATAAATGAGCTATGGATAATCTTTGCTCGACCTTCCACTTTGGGATTGAGTCCAAGATATGCAAACATTAATTAAGCCAAGTGAAGTGTATGAAATGTACGTATAAGCAGAAAAGGAGGTGGTTCATTTTATTTTCAAAAATATGTAGTCATTTAATTACGTGTTTTTCTAGTTGGTGTATCTAAAGTTCTAAACAAATTAAAGTTTGTTACAATCAATTTGAAGAAGGGAGCTGAGATTATTGTTTGTTGAAGGTGTTTTTGTTCCGGATTAATTGATTCACGTAAATATTTCACCAAGTTAGCTAAGAAATTATTACGTGACCCTTGAGTATTAAAAAAACATTAGAATACATTTAAGTACACATTAGTATATAATTATACATGTATATATATTGCTTCATTACTTGATACAAAGTACAATTTACATCCATTTGATTGTTTTATTCTTAGTTACTTGCACAGGATAAAACTTAAGTACTAGAAGAAATAAGATATACTAGTTACTACACAGTACACACCATTGGTAGCCATCTAAAACATATTATAATCTTAGTGGCCATTAGATTTACTAGTGGTTCCTTGTGCATTATTTACAGTTTTTGGTGGGTTTTTTGGACCATGTTGTCCACCATGATTATTTACATTCACATCATTCTTCTCTGCCTCGGCAGCATTCTTAATCGGAGGGTGAGGGTTGTTATTTCCACCACGACCGTTGACACTTACATCACCCTCCGTGTCGTGAGGTGGCCGGTGCTCTCCACCACGTCCACAACAACCTCCACCATTACCATCGGTCTTATGGGGTGATTCTTCTATTGGTGGCCAATGGCCGCTACCTCCACCTTTGCCACCCCAACCACCACCATAACCATCGGTCTGATGAAGAGAATCTTCTTTTGGTGGCCAATGGCCGTTACCTCCACCTTTGCCACCCCAACCACCACCGCCATATCCACCATGGCCAACCCAACCACCACCATAACCGTCGGTCTTATGAAGAGATTCTTCATTTGGTGGCCAATGGCCGTGACCTCCACCTTTGCCACCCCAACCACCACCGCCGTATCCTCCATGGCCACCCCAACCACCACCATAACCATCGGTTTTATGAAGAGATTCTTCATTTGGTGGCCAATGGCCATGACCACCACCTTTGCCACCCCAACCACCACCACCGGATCCTCCATGGCCACCCCAACCACCACCATAACCGTCGGTTTTATGAAGAGATTCTTCATTTGGTGGCCAATGGCCGTGACCACCACCTTTGCCACCCCAACCACCACCGCCATATCCTCCATGGCCACCCGAACCACCACCATAGCCATCGGTCTTATGAAGAGATTCTTCTTTTGGTGGCCAATGACCGCGACCTCCACCTTTGCCACCCCAACCACCACCATAACCATCAGTCTTATGAAGAGATTCTTCTACCGGTGGCCAATGGCCACCATGTCCACCACCTTTGCCTCCCCAACCGCCTCCTCCACCATGTCCATAACCATCAGTCTTGTAAAGCGATTCTTCTTGTGGAGGCTTGTTATATCCTCCACGTCCATCAAGGCTAACGACGACCTTTTCTGCCTCTACAAAATCGATCCAACATCAAAATATAGAGAATTAACATATTATGTAAATATTATTATTTAAAAAAAAAAACACAAAACTTGTAATTCCTCTCTTCTTTTCTACTTAACTTATTTCTTTTATCACGCTTGCCAATGCAAAACTTTAACGATCAATAACTCAAATTCTCCATAAGAAAAAATTATAAAAATGATATATTATGATAGTACTTATTGAGACTAATACAAAAACATTATACATGAATAAATTTTTTCTTACATATTATTAACAAAAGTCAAAGCGGGTCAAGTAATAAAGAAAGGAGGAAGTACATGTTAAAGGACATTTATGCACGATAAAATTATTGCTAAAAAATTAATTTAATAATCCATCAAGTGTGTTTGGCTAGACGATAGCTAAATTAATACAAGTACTTATAATAGATACTACTCCGTATTATATTTTCTACCCTACGCTTGTACATTTCTTGGAAAAACTAATATAGATTAGTACAATTATAGAATTTTATCTAGAAATATTTTCTAGCGACACTTACATTAATTTGTTTGATTCACTTGTTTACCGTTTTACCGTCAAATGAGGAAAAAAACATTTAGATCACATGATACAAATTAAATTGAAAGTATAAATAAATTGTTTTCCTCTTGTTTTTTATGCATGTTCATGGTAAACAACAAAATTATGTGAGAAAAAGTAGTTGATGCTTTTAAATTTTTATAATGATATTTAAATATATTGTTAAAAGCTCCAAAAATACACACTAGCTATTAAAAAAAAATGTAAATTGGTAGTGTATGTATTGATGGTGAATACTATGAAGTACTTTGTATATAGAAAAAGAAACTTACGTGTTTGGTCACTTGCTATGTCACGAGCCGAGACAACAAGAACAAAGGTGGCCAAGAGTAGGCCAAGCATGCATAAGTGTTGTTTAGAGTACACCATTATTATATATTGTAAGATTATGTAACTAGCTACTGATGAGTCCTGCCTATTCTTGTTGAGCCAAGGATCACTTATTTATAGGTCATATTTTGAGAGAAAAAGAAGATATTCCATTATTTTTTTAAAAGTGGTCCAATTTGTTCAATATATTTGTGCATACGGAACTTTGACCAATAATATCATTAATTTTATTATTTATTAATAAGTATAAACTATGGGAAATTGGTTTTTGAAACTATATATTGAGAAGATTTTATCAATTTTATTTATAATTTTTTTTAGAGAGCTACAAAGACGGGGTGAGAATTGATCCCAGATTTTGGAATGGAAGCTCTTACCACTTGAATTATCCTTCACTTTCATATCAAGTATTTATACGACTATATTTAATTTGATGCTATGTACTTCTAATTAACCATGCAAAAACATTAGTCTAATTAAGTGATGTATGTATATATATATATAATACTCCGTACAAAAGACAAAGTAAATGCCCCAATCATGTGGGTTATTTGCTGTTAATGACATGTGTAGTTTCCAAAATCAAGTCTTAATATTTATACTAATTTATAATTAAAAATATTATTGATTAAAAATCTATATTGATAAATAAAAAATAAATAAGAAGTATTTATTTTAAAATTTAAGGGAGTATTTAGAAGGGAGGAGCTCGTTAAAAGTTTATATATTAAACCCTATTTAGCAAAAGGATCTTGCTAACAAACATACTCAAGATAGATGTTGGATAAGCACTTAATATATTATCTAAAATGGTATTAATTTGAAAAAATATGACAAAATCACGTGTGAATTGGTGTAATTAATGTTTATTTTAATTTAATCTTTCTAGAGAAAATTGTGAAAAAGGACCTTTTAAGTGGTCGACTTTTTGAAAAAGGACCTTTTAAGTTAAAATTTGTGAAAAACGGACTATTTAAGTTGTACTTTGTTTGAATGGGGTACTTGGGTGAGCTTGTATGGTGGTCAACACCGGAGATTCGGGGTTGACTATCACGTATTAGTCACATGTTTTTTTAAAAAAAAAATTAAAAAAAAATCCCAAATTTCCATCATTTCTCGACCGAACCCTTTCATATAATATTTTCACAGAGGTCGGGAAAGGGGGAATTTTATTTTATTATTTTTTTTTTTTGAAAATAAGTCATGTGACAAATATGTGATAATGAACACCGGCAGAGCTCTAAGATTGACCACCTCGCAAGCTCACACAAGTACCCCATACAAACAAAATATAACTTAAAAGGTCCTTTTTTCACAAGTTTTCACTTAAAAGGTCCTTTTTCAAAAAATCGATCATTTAAAAGATCCTTTTTCACAATTTTTTCATCTTTCTATTATAAGCTAACTTATCTAACACCCTGTTGCCTTAGCAAAATATTCAAATATTAATATGGAAATATTCATGATGTTGGATTGTTGTCATAAGAGTTTGGATAAGGTTTGAAGATACAAATTGATGGAACGTCGGTTGATATCTTGTTGTTATTAAAGGAAGTAATATTTTAAAGCAACAATTATTTATTGAAGTACGGACCAAAATGTTAAAGGAAGTAATAGTGGACGGCTAATTTGTCGAATTCTATTCGGCTCGAGCAACCCTTGTTTTACTTCTCGCATAGATTGATGAGAATGTGTGTGTGTCATTCCCTAATGTTATCTTTGTGTCATTCTTTGCATGTTTGTTTGACACATGCATACTAGATACTACTCTCGATCTCCGACGATTTTAAGTTCAACTAAGTCAAATCTTGTTGAAATGTGCCGCCTTGAAGCAGTATGTAGCTTCGACTTTCGAGTGATATAACAGCCAACATAGGAGTCTCACTTTCTATCATTGATATTATCTCTGTTTCTTATTATTTGCATCAAAAGAATAGTTTCCAGAATGATCATTTTTAACTCAGAATCATCCTGAAACTATTCGCTACTAAATTGATACAACAAAAGCCAAATCGATTAAAACCTAACGTCATCAAAAACCAACTCAGCCCAAAAATCAAACTGATAACATATTTATTAAACTTTTTATAATCGATATCTAATTTCGATGTGAACCTTCACAATGCAACAACCCGACCCAAACTAAAAAAATTGATTATAGTCTAACCTACCTATTGATGACCCGACCTGTTTTAATCAAAGGAAATTCCATTTAACTTTGACCGTTTCAACTCACGACCCATTTTACCCGAGCAACTAACAATTTGTTACCCATTTGACCCGAACCATTTAAGATAGACACGTTATGTCGATTTTTTTTTTTTTTTTTTTTTTTTTTTTTGCCTCATGCATGTGATCAGTGTAATTGAATTATTTATAACCCGTGACTTGTTTCAACTAATATATTTACAATACAACTAGTGACTCTTTAAACGATTTGATAACAACCTATTACTAATTTAATCGATATAATTTCGTATATTTAGCTTTAAACTGAACCTTAATTACAAATCAACCCAAAACTAAACAAACCGATTATAGTCTAACCTATTGATGACCCGACCCGTTTCAATCCTAGGAAAATCCATTTAACTTGGAGTCTTGGAGTGTTTCAATCCACGACTCATTGTACCCAAACAATTAACAATCTGTGGCCCGTTTCGGCCGTTTGACCAAAACCATTTCAGCTAGTGACCCGTTATGCCTATATTGCTTGCAATAAGTGATCATATCAGTTTAACCTAAATTATTTACAACCCGTGACCGGTGACCTGTTTCAACTGATTACTCAGCTCGTTGAATGATTTGTTTACAACCTAACTAGGATAGATAGGTATATTCCGTACAAGTTCTACCCGTAAAGTATTACATTCCCTCAATGTATATCGGAATATTGCCAGTTTGCCACATACACTCTCTCTTTCGGTCTTTTCAAAATACTTCATCCGTTACGAATTACTTGCAATAAAGAGGTATTATTTATGAGACATAAAATATTTCTTTGTTGCGAGTAATATGTAACAGATGGAGTAGAAAACCCATACTACCATATACGTTATGGGACCATATTATACATACCATACTCACCTTGGACATTTAAATTTTCTACATACCCCTCATGAAGGTTAAAAAAAAAATAAAAAAAAAAAGAAAAAATAAAATCCCTTTATTTTTTGCATATGACACACAAGCTTTCAATTCGCACGTAGGACTTGATGTTAAAAAGAAGATGAAATATTATTTAAAATAATTTTTAATTTACACTTGTATATTCAAATCATAAAAAAAAAAAAATCATAATAAGATTAAAAAAAAAAAATCATAAAAATAAGATAAAAATCCGTCAATATGAATAAGTTCTACAATAGGAGTATCATTAAAAAAAACAACTTACTCAATTGAAAATAAAGAGTTTTACATGAACCAATAAATCAAACAGTTATATATCGAAGTATTAATAGATTGTACCCCAACAAAATTTATTGAACCTTTAAATTTGTTTAGTTATGAGTTGAATTTACCGAAGCTTATTTTAATATCTAATTAGAATTTACTTGCGAAGAACAATTAATTATTAAAACTTTTTTCGATCACTTTGAGCGACCTACTTTTTTTGATTTGCTTAATTCTTTTTAAGAATAAAGTCTAATTAAGATACTGGTGCTCAAATTTATCCAACATATATTATGCTTCATGTATTACTTGACATCTTATTATATGTTACATGATGCAACGACATAAAGAAAACCATAAACATACATGCTTCACTTATTGTAGCTTAGCTACCAGCTAGAATTTCACATTCTGTTTATAACCTTATTCTAAGCAACTTTCTACTTGCTTAGGATACAAGTCGAAACACTATTACGTAGAAATTACAACGATAACATTGCATGTTGGACATATATTCTAGTGGCCTTGGATTCACTTTTAGTTCTTATGCGTTTTCCTCTACTTCGACAACCTCTTAGCTAGAGGACGAGGCTTGTTTTACCCTCCACGCCCATCTAAGCTTACATCTCTTTCTTCTACCGGTGGATGAGGCTTGTTATATCCTCCACGCCCATCTAGGCTTACAAAGCTTTCTTCTAAGGGTGGGTGAGGCTTGTTGTATCCTCCTCGTCCATCAAGACTTACAGTACTTTCTTCGAGAGGTGGATGAGGCTTGTTACATCCACCACGTCCATTGAGGTCAACAACATTTCCTGCTTCTACGTAAACAACCCAAGAAAGTATGAAAACAATAATTAGTCAAGGGCATATATGAATGAAAATAATGTGTACTACTAATCAACACTCTTTTTAAAAAAAATCTAGTTATTAACCCTATTGATAAGAGTGAAAAATAATATTGATAAAAAAAATTAAAAAAAAAAGAACGAACAAAGTATATACTTCATCCGTTCTTTATTACTTGACCTGCTTTGACTTTTATACTATTCACCAACTCTTCTTTGACCGTCTTTTGTGAATGATATGTAAGGAAAAATATATTCATATGATATCTTTTTTAATTCGTCTCAATAAGTACTATCATAATATATAACTTTTATAATTTTACTTATGAAGAATTAAAGTTAAGAATATATATATATATATATATATATATATATATAATATATATATATATATATATATATATATATAAATAAACATACTACATTATGAGTTATGACACTACATGTACCAATTAATAAGTACATAAGAAATTAAAAGAAAGTTACGTGTTTTTGCATTCGATATGTCACGAGCCGAGGCAACAAAAGAACAAAGTAAAAAAGTGGCAAAGAGAAGGCTAAGCAAGGGAAGGGGATTTGAGTATGCCATTTTATGGTTATTTAGCTACTGAATCCTGTCAATTCCTTGGAGCCAAAGATCACTTATTTATAGGCCAAAAATGCCATTTTAAAAATTAATATTTTTGAAATTTTTGTAAAATAAAAAATATATAATGGTATCAATTTTTGCCATACTATAATATGATAAGGTTTGCAGATATAAAATTGATGTACGTGGGTTTATTATTAGCTTATTTGCAACTATTGCAAACTAAATAAAAGCAATTGTTAAATAAAATAGTAAA